CTCACCCAGCATATGTGACACAGTGCAGAGAGGGTCTGTGGGGTTCTGCAGGAAGCAGACGGAGCCAGGCTGCCAGCACTGCCTCCTGGGGGAGGAAAGTTGTGGAAAAATGATAACTTTCAGGAATATGGAAGAGCAGGAGAAGCATGCAGGGTAGGCAGGGCACAGCAAGACCCAGCTTGCAGCACACGGCCCTCAGGCAGGTCTTGCTGCCCTCTTGCTCATGCACTAGGGCACATCCCCCAGATTGCAGATGCGTAGGCTGTAATTTAAGGGGATGGGCAGCACACCTACCTTATGTGCGTGCATCTCAGTGTGGGAGCTGTGTGACAGCTGTTTGATAACACCCTGCCTTGGTTGTGCCCCAGGCTTCAGCAGGGACTGTTGGGGATGAGCACACAGCACGTCGTGGGCAGCACGAGCACAGCCACAGCCCCACAGCACCTCCCACGTCCCGCAGGGCACCACTGGCACCCTCCAGCCCTATACAGCAGGAGCTGACCCAGCCCCCGACCTGCCAGCTCACCCCAAGCAACGTGCTCCTGTTGCTGCATAGCAAAGGTGCTGCTGGGCATGGTGAGGCATGTGGAGCAGTCATACCCTGATAAATCACAGTGTGCTTTCCTAAAAAGCCATTTCCAGTTTTACTCTATGGAAAAATATCAGCAGGAGCCACTCCAGGCAGTGGAACCATGGTTTCCACTTCCTCTTGCACAAGGCCTCCTCCCAAAGAAACAGGGATGAAGATATCTGAAGATATCAGCAGCCTTTGGTTTCAGAGTTGTACAGAGCTCCCTCCTTCCACTGGGATGGTGTGCAGATACCCAAGGAAGCAATGAAGAGCACAGAGGCCATAAAACCTCTTGGTACAAGAAAGCATCCCCTGGTTTTGCAGCCTACCACTCATGATGGAACACAGCAGCTGCCCCTGGGCTGGGTTTCTGTACTTTCTACACGCTCATTGTTTTCTGGCCATTGATTTCCAGTCACCAGCACCTTCCTTCCCATTTCCTGAATCTTCTTCTGTCCTGCTCTCATTTTCTATTTGTGCTTCTACCCTAGCATTTTTCCAATGGACATTTCCTTGAGCTCTCCATACCCTCCCTTCCCTGTTTCTGTTCCTTCTCCTTTTGCTCTCCCTTCCTCCTCCTCACAAGAAACCAGTTCTCACTTTTCTTAAATCATTTCCTCATTTCTTTTTGCACTTCATCCTCACCTCACCAGCACTGCCAGCAGCCTCACATCCCCTTCAACCCAGTGCAGGTCCTGGCCAGCTTTGTGTGCTGAAGAGATGGAAGGGCTGTGCATGTCCTTTCCTTTCTAGCTAGATGTTCCATGGGGCATCTGCCCTTGGAATGGGACGGCCTTCAAGGTCTCTTCCAACCCAAACCATAGAACCTAGAAGGGGGCCCTGGTGAAATGACATGTAGCAGCCACATTGGGAACTTGGGGGCTCACCACCCAACACTGGCTCTGAACTTCCTTCTTCCTTGTGCTTCACAAGCTGAGGGAGAAAAAAAAAAGGCAGCCCACAAAGGAGGAAGATGTCTTGTTGGGCCCTTGCTGGGACAGTGCTGCTGTTCTTGGTCTGCACGGTGTGGCTCAATGAGAAGTGCAAAGAGCAGTCCTGGCAGTGGGGCCATCTGGCTAGATGTGGCTCAGAGGAGTCCTGCTGGGCAGCAAGTAGAACACAAACCAACCTAGATGCTGCAGGGCCCAGAGCATTGCTGCTGTGAGGAGAGCTGAGAGCTGGGGCTGCTCGGCCTGGAGGAGGCTCAGAAGATCCCATCCATGCCCATCAATTGTTGCTGGTGCTGGGCTCAGGGACTCACCTCAGCTGCCCTATGATAGCCGTGGGTGTGATTCAGCCCCGGGGAGCAGAGGCAGCCCGGCAGGTCCCTCCCTGCAGGCGGCCCAGCTGCACCTGCTGGACCAGCACAGCCAGCTGCACACAGCGCAGAGGGGATGCATCCCTAACAGCGACAGGGCCTGGCTGAGTCACAGAGTGCAGGCTGCATGCCAGCGGGGCATGGGGACACATGAGGACACACCACCTGTGTTGCCCAGGGGGTTCTGTGTGCCAGTGTGGGAAACCAAGCATGGTCCAGCCCCAATTCCATCACCAAACACCAGCGGCACCACCTGCACAGCAGTCACAGAGGGGCCACCAGTCCTCCTGGGACCTGCAGGGTGGGATGCTGGCAGCAAAGGTCACAGCGAGGTGGGGGTTGGTCTCTGCTGCCAAGTAGCAGCAATAGGACAAGAGGTGATAGCCTCACGGTGCGCTGGGGAGGTTTAGGTTGGTTATTAGGAAACATTTCTTCTCCAGAAGAGCGGTGAGGCATTGGAACAGGCTGCCCAGGGAGTGGTGGGGTCACCATCTCTGGAGATGTGGATGTTCCGTGGAGATGTGGCACTGAGGATTAGAAGGCATGGTGGGTGTGGGCCAGGGCTGGACTCAGAGATCTTGGAGGTCTTTTCCAACCTGAGTGATTCTGTGATTCTATGATTCCAAGGCCTCTTCCATCCAGTAGGATGCACTGAGCCAGGCTCTGTCATGTGAAGGGCACATTTGTGCGCCCACACAAGGCAGCCTCTTCCTCTCCAGCATCCAGAAGCGAGAAGGGAAGGGAAATTCCTGGATGGGCACTGCTGGGTGCAGAAGTTCCACCACACAGCTGGTCTGGGACTCAAACTCACAGCACTGCAGGCCCTTGAGTCTTCCAGACCAAGGCCAGGGGCAGCCTCCTCTGCATCCTGCAACATGGACCGTGTCCTTGTGGGGACTGCTCCAGGCCCCAGCCACCCACTGCTCCTGGAGGAGGCACAGCTTCACTCCTGCTGAGGTCTGGGAAACCCTTCTGCACTGGGCAGAGTCAGAGGTGAGAAGATTGCACCAAATCCAACAGCAAGATGAAACAAAACCAAGCGTGTATCAATACACAAGAACTCATTCCTTGTGGAAGGGGAGAAAAGCAGATGATGATTTATAGTCATAAAAGCATGCTCAAAACAGTTTGTACCCCTCTAGCAGGGGAAAAAAGGAGCCCAGCATCCATTAGGAAAGAACGATCCTGAGGACAATCTGACATTGCAATCCAACAGTGCAATCACAGCCATTAGAGAATTAAGAGGGTTTTTTGTTTGCTGCATTAGCATGGAGGTGATACTGCTGACCGCTGCTGGCAGAGAAGCCCCAGTGGAAGAGATGTTCTCCAGCCAAGCTCCCAGTTCTCAGTGCCGAGTGAAAACCTCAGATTTCCACTTAAGGCTGGAAATTACAGCAAATAGCTGCAGTATATTGTGAATGATTGCCCCAGGAGCTGGGGTACATAATCCCAGATTTCTTGGCACGTGCCACGATCAAAAGTAGCACCAGAAAATGCAATCACTTGCTTATGCTGTGGAAAAAACAGAACCAACGCAGCAGCCACAGTCCAGCACTGTGCAGCATGGACACAGTGGGGGCAAAGCCTGCCCAGCAACCTCAGTGCTGGTACAGGCAAAGCTCAAGTCATAACAACAGCAAGGGGAAGTGAGCAGAGTGGGAAACGCAGTAACGAGCATTTTGATACTCCACCTGTGCTCACCAGCAGGAGTTTCAAGTCAGTTGCATTTGTGTATGGCATTTTGACATGTATACATACATATATACATAGTCACACATGAACGCACTGAGGGAGAACTGCAGCAGTCCCCTAGCTCCCAAGCCAGCAGGAGCACTCCCATTTGCAAGGCCTGAATCATGCCCGTGCTCTCCCACTTCTCCTTACAAGAGGTCACCAAACTGCTCTTTAGCCAGGAAATCCTGATGGTCGTCAGAAAGAAGCAAGACAGCAGACTGAGTAGCTTTTAAAAGCCAACAACCTAGGCTATATCACCAACCCCAACTCCCCGCCCCACAGCCCACCTTACCTTCCTGATGTCTTCTCTCCAGGAGGCCCATCGCACCAACACAGCCCTCCTTCCCCAAGGCAAACACCCCCTACGCTGCCAAGAGCAGAGGATGGGAGCTAACTGGAACCAGCTGCCTGAGTTCTGCCCCTCCTCTACCTACAGGTGGTTTGACTGCTGCAGATATGAGCAGGGTTAACACAGGTGGCACTGAGAAGAGCTTGTCCTCCTGGGCAGTGTGTAGGGCTCTGAACCACTGACCTGTCCTCTGCACTCCTCCTGGCTGGGGCCACTTGCAACCAGCAGTCACTACTTTCTATTTCTTGTCCATATCACAGCTAAAGATACTGAGGAGCACCGAGCCAAGCAGAGACGCCTAGAAAACACAACAAAAGCCCTGATTAAATGAGTATTATGTGTTGACTGTTACTTTAATATATCATTTTTTAACTCATTATCAGCTTAATTAACTGTAAAAGTAACATTAGCAAGAACTTTCATTCTTGACCAAATTTGAAACCTCATCCAAGAGAGGGTTTCTTTGAGGTTTCTTTTCCAATAAATCCGTTCTGCAGAGCTGCCCTCCTTCAGCTTGGGGCACCTGACAGCAGTGGGAATTTGTTTAGTAATCCAGACTGTAAGCAACATATTAGTTTGGTAATGTCTCCCAGTCCTCTTGAAATAAAGCAGTAAAAGGAATGGATATGAGCATCTCTCATGTAGTAGACCCGGGATGAAAATTGTCTAGTTTGGATTATCTAGGGTGCAAGGAAACAGCCTCAAGGCACACCAGAGAAGGTTTACATTGGACATTAGGAAGAATTTCTTTGCAGAGAGGTGGCTGAGCACTGAAACAGGCTGCCCAGGGCACTGCTGGATCCTCATGCTTGGCAGTGCTTGAGGGATGTGTGGCCATGGCACTGAGGAACACGACCCAGTGCTGGCACTCGGTGGGCCAGGTTGGACTTTGTGATCTGGAAGGTCCTGCCCAGCCTGGATGACTCCATCTAGAAACACCCATCTGTAAGAGTTCAAGACCAGAGCACAATTTTCTAGACACTGCAGTATGCACAGAACACAACTGAAATTAATGCACACAAACACAATTTTAAACATGAATGTTTACTAACATAAATAAACAGTGTTTTATAACAAAAGGCACAGATTTTCAACTATAAACAATGGAAAAATATTTACAGTTTGCACATACGTAATCAAACAGCAAATGCACAGTTGGTCACTTCAGATCTTCCTTCTACATTTTTAGAGTCACCTCCTTGCAAACAAGTAATTTTATTCAGTTCTGTAATGTTGGTTTTTTTTCCCTCACAAAAACTGCTACAAATGTCAATAAGAGTAATTTAGCAGCACAAGTTTTCAAATGGAGACAGTGTTGCTAACTTCTTCATACTGGATAATAAAATAAGGGTAGCTCTGATCATCATTAAAAATGACAAAAATCTGAGGCTCAAAGTAATTGTCCACACAAGAGTCATAGAGGTCACTGGTGATGCTGCCCGGGTTGACGGGCGGAGGTCTCCTCATGGTGTGATTGCCCACAGTGTATCTCCCCGTCAGTACTTTAGCCAGGAACATGTAATGAACTCCTTTGGGTGACCTCTTGGAAAAATTGTGAGAGTAGCTTGCCTTTCTGGCAAAGTAACTGCCCTGTCCAAACATGGTGGCGTGCTTCCCGCAGACGCGCGGGTCGAAGTTGTGCTTGCAGATACCATCCACCACATCCTGGGAGGTGCCGTGGAACAAATGCCTTTCGTTCATTATCCTGTCAAGCCCAGTCATTTTCTTGGACATATATTCCTTTTTCCTGGAATAGAAGATGGAAACTGAAAATGAGAATTCACTGTAGATCTGCGAGCAAAGAGCAGTTCTCGCTACAGCTCTTCAAGCAAAGGGCATGGGCATTATGCTGTGGAACATTAGGTGTAAGAGGAGACACGAGGACAGGGTGCCTGCACCATCTTACCTTTTATATTTCTCCCAAAGAAACTGATTTTGCACTCTGAGAATTTTCAAAATTTTATATTTGGTCTCTGGCACAGTCTTGTGAAACAGGTTATAAATGGTTCTGTAGCTTTTATCTTCTTTCAAAACAGGCACTTGGATGAAGTCCTGAGACGGATCCATACTAATCCAGGTTTCAGGATAGAAGTTTGGAGAGGTAACAGCAGTTGGAGATAAGACATGTGAGGAAAGCGGTTCGGCTGACGGAGAGGGTACTGGAGAACTGCCTCCTAGAGTCCTGGTTTGGGAAGAAGAACAAATTTGCACCTGAACATTCACAAGCTGAACAGCTTCTCATCACAGTTACTTGGTCACCAATGTTTCTTAACAATCACTGCTCTTTGATTCTGTAACCATTTACATCACCGTAATGCTCATTTAAAACAATTATGCCAGCTATTTCTTCTGTATTAATAACTCCTGCATCCATCCAAACTAATAATAAAATCTTGAGTTTCCAGCATGCAGTTCCACTTGGGAAAATATTACCAGCTGGTGGTGATTTAAAAGCCTGTTATAATCTTTATTGTTCAGATTCTAGGGTGGAGGGGTGGTTATAAACTACATAAGAGGCAGAAAGCTATCAAACACAAACCTTTTATAAGCTGGTTGTAAACTATTACTTATTTTAACATGTAGAGTAAGACATACAGAATCAGAGGAGAAGAATAATTTGGCAGCATTTCACCTAATTTCCCTAGACTACAACACAAGGAGCAGAAACAGTTTCTTGCACAGTATAATGAATATCCATGATTAATAATATTTACAGGCAAAAGCTGCATATATTTCACTACATTATCTAGAAGAAGGGATTACGTTTGCAGTGCTACCCAGGATCGTACTGTTTTCGTTTGCACAGGCCAGATGTTGATTTGCATTTGCAGTTCCTTATTTCCATGTGTGAGAGCAGCCTCTCCTTTTGGGTGCGCTGCCAGGGAAGAGGTCAGCAGTGGCAGAAGGAAGGCAACCACTGCCTCTATTGCTTATGACAGAAAAGCTCCATGTGCACCAGAAAAGGGCCACACCTTGGCAAAATCAAGTTGCCAAGGCAAGATTGCACTCTCAACTGCTGTGGAATTGTTCATGCTTTTGAACCCACTAAATTTAGATAAAGAGTATGGCAGTTGTGGCTTATATTCACCTGATTATAATCTGAACATGCAAGCTCTGCTCAGCTGAATAATCCTTACTTAATGGAGTTCTCCCACTTACGTCAATGCAAATACTTTGAATATGTAAAGCCAGCAGGTTCAGGCTCTGGTTTTCTGTCTGTAAGCATATATATCTTCAGCTCATGAGGCTGGTGAGGTTGCCTCTAAGCCACAGGAATACACTGAACTCTCTCAGACTTAAGCAGATGAAGACATTGCTCAAGTGTTCTCACAGAAAAGGTTGCTACCGACTCCAGGACCAACCAAAAGTGGTGACAAGCAGGTGAAGAGCAGTGAGAAGCAGCCACCTCTTGTTAGGGAAGCTTACAAAAGTGGCAGGAGGTTTCTGCTGTCTGACTCGAGAGACACAGGGCAAGCCCTGTCTCCAAACAGCACAGCTCATTTTACCCGTGTTCATGAGATTTCTCAGGTCACTTGTTTTCTCATAAAACATCATGGCCAAAGCATAAGGAGAAGATCTGTTCTGCCTAGGGGGCAAGAGGGAGGGAATTTCATGCATTCACCTTGGGCGAGCTGAGGTTTGACAACACCCAAGGCCAAATCCTGCCTCCCTGTGTATATGCAATTGCATTTAGTGCACAGGAACAACAGGCAAACAAGACTCCCTGTCCTCTCTTTGTAAAAGGAAGTCTACTGGGGAGCAAACTCACAGCTCTGCTAAAGGCAAAGTTACTTCCACAGAGCGAATCTTCAAGAACCAGTCATCCTCTGTTCAAGTGCAGTTCAGGCTGAAAAGCCCATTTGTTCCCAAGGTATACAAAAAACAGAGCAACATCTGATTGCCCATGCTTGTTAGCCTGCTTTCTCTGCAGAGCAAACATAATTATCTAGATAAATAACAATTTACTGCTATTTACATCTTAGCTATGGAAATGCCAATTGAGGTCACCTCTCAGAATATTTAATCTCTGATATATGAGCCTGAAAGAACCTCATGTGAGTTTCTGTGTGACCCAGAAATAATTCCATGTGAATTTCTGATTGCCTTTGAGCTCTTCAGGACTACAGGAACAATGGGGTGTGTGTGTCTGCTTCCAAACAGATTCACTTGATTTCCAAACCAGGTTAGCTGTAACACCGTTCACACTGCTCAAAGCAGGAATACTCCACAAAACTGTTCACGTGGCTGCCACTGGCTGCTCAAAACTGAACAGAGATTTCAGCTCATTTGCATGGATTTGACTGAACTCAAACTTCTTACTGTTCATTAACAGCTTAAAGAGACCCAGAAGACGGCCTTTTCTAAGAGTGATTATTAAAACAGCAACCTGCAATATTCCACTGTGGTTTTATTTAGTTCGCTCTTCTCATCCTAAAGTCAACTGAGAACCTCGCTCACACTTGGGCTCAAGGAGCAAGAGCAAAATAACAGGAAGCTGTGGATTAATGAGTAAGTCAGCAAGCACAATAAAAACCCTGCATCCTTTGGTGTACTTTGTTCATCTATTCTGAATAATGTAACTTATGTGTAAGCATGTATTGTACGAGGGAAAGCAGTAAAAAGTCAGCATTTGTTCACTACTGTCACACCATCACCACTGTTTCTATTCCAGCACTCTTTTGAAATGTTATAACTGCCACAAGCAGCTGGGAAACCCCGCAGGTGGGGAGCACTGTGTGATATGTGGAGGCAAACATTGGCTTTTTAAAGACCCTGCTAATATTCAAAACACTCTTCTGGTCTCTATTGACAGTTGCTGGATTTTTAAGTCAGAATTACGAGGACTTTGGATAAAAAGTGAAAAGAATGAGGTTTGTGGCAGAACAACATAAATTTCAGAGCTGCAATTTAGATTTGGTAGTTATGGTCAGACCCTCACAGGGGTAGAACCCTCAACGGCCCACTAAACTTACTGGGAGTTGCATAATTTTAGCATCTCTCAAAACCATAGACTTAAACTGTAATAAAATCATCACTGTTAGTAAAATGCCAGGGAAATAACTTCAATCCTTATTCTTCATTAAGATCAGAACCATAACTGCTATACCCAGAAAGTCCATGTTTGCTCATTTCATTTGCATCCTCCAAGTATCTCTTCAATTGTTTTTGGTTTTCCAGAAACCACATCTAAAAATGTGTCTAGCAGCCACTTGTTTTCAGGCTCTGACCAAATTCACTTTCACCTCGCAATTAGATGCTCTAACAACCCAGCAAGCTAACGAGCATTCTAGCCCTAATGCAGCAGTTAAATCTCCTTTGATTGGCCCAGCATGCCAAGCTTCCAGTCAGACTAATGACTTCCACCCCTTTGCTAACAGGACAATATGTTCCTAACTACTGAACTCCGACAATAATGTTTCCAGCTGTGCTGGTGAGATCACAAAAATGGCATTTTTATGAATTGTAATCAAAAAATGACTACAATGCAACACTTTCCTCACTGCCTTTGATGGTAAACATGTTCACCCCCCTTGAGATGACAATAAAAACAAGGAATGCTTTAATTGTGCTTGAAAATTATAGAATGTTTTTGAACACTCATTTTTATGGGACCTAGAAGTGATGGCCTGGCAGTCACCATAGTAGGTGAAAGGCTGCAAGCTGGACAACAGTTTGGCAAGAATAAAGCACATCTGGGCTTCTGATGTCTGAGATCCAAAAGGTATATTAGAGTCTATAAATAACAGAGACCAGCAGCGAGGACTTCCTCAGATAACAATTGCCTTGAGAAGTATTGAGTGAGTAGTTGCCAATGTGGCCAAGCATTTTCCTACCAAATGATACCCGTCTCCTTGTCACATCCTAATGAACACGAATCTCACGGACAGAACACCGTGAAAAACACACAGCTTCCATTCTGCTGGGATACGTACTGCAAGAACGGCATCAGCACAACGCAGGAGCGAAGAAGAGGTCTCCTCTTGATTTCTCTTCTGAAACACGCGTTCTGCTGGAAGCCATCTTTGATGTTTAAGATGTACTGGTTATGCCAGGTGACAAAGCGGACCTCCTTCAGACCTCGGCAGCTGGCTTCTTCTATCAGCCGTACAACGGGCTGTTCCAAGAAAACACAAAACGTACACACGATAAACCATGGGTTCAAAGTGAGTATTTCTGCCAGGCACCTCAAGAAGTCCCTCTATCCAATCCCTTCTCCTCCCCTCTTTCCCTTGCTCTGAACCCACAAGCCACTGAAAAGTGTTTCTTCTGGACTCTCTCCAGCTCTTGCACGATTCTATTTGCAAAGGCTGCATGCAGTGCTCTGCTCTAAGATTTCCAGCATGCTATAAAGTCAGCATGATGCAGGAAAAAAGGCGAACAAGATGCGTTTTATATTGGCAGAGATCTTTCTAGCACTGCCAAAGTTTTAAGACATTGATCATACAATATCTTGTACAGCTCTGGTTAGCCACAGGTGAGCCCTTAACAACCACAGGTATCTAAAAGGCTTAGTGGAGAGCAAACAGAAATCTTACTTTGCTTTGGTTTTGTCTCACAAAATTGTGTTTAACAGTGGATGTAGGTTATGTGTCCATAATAGGACACGTAACCTTGAAGAGCTGGGAGACAGAAGGCTTATTTAAAACCTGATACAGAAAACTACGTCCACTAAAGAGTGAAGGATAATGGTAACTTTTCAAATTGTTCAAAGAGAAAACAGACTGAAAGTGGGCATGCTGCTTATAGCACATAGCACATGGGTAGGTCTGTGCTACAACCCAAGAGCAGGACTCTGGAAGATGCTAAATACCTCAGAGTATTCTCTCCAGATGAAATGATCCCTGCAGAAGTACTTCCAGACCGTGTAGTAGTTGGAGCTGGAGTTGGGACAGGATGGTGTGGACAGCCTCCGCATTTGGTCAAACTCCACAGTTTCGTATAGTTTCATAACATTTAAATCCACCCAAAATTCGTGTCCTCTGGAAAGCACAAGAGAAATGAAGAACTGTCACTTTCTATAATCCATTACAATTATCTGAGATGGCACAGGACGGAGCCCCAGCTCACATAGTGCTCCCCAGAGCCTGGATGTGCCCACATCTCACAGCCAGACCCACGACCAGAGAGTTGCTCCACATGGAACGTATGCCAGGACAAAACAGGGCCAATTCACTCTTCACAAGGTTCTGTGGGCAGCAGTACCAACCACGATCAGCAGCAGAGAACAGCCCAAACCCAAACCCACCAGTCCTCCTGACCCAGCAACGTTTACTCCACACACACGAATCCTGCACAAAGCAATACACGTATCCTTGACATTTTGAACACACTTCCTGAGTAAATGAATCACACGACTGCATTGGAAGAAGCAACTACACACTATTCAAAAGGTTATTCTTGTGAAAGTTAGTGCTCCAGGGAAGAAAAGAAAATGCAAACGTCTCCAGATGAGGAGCATCTGCTGCCAACCCACCAGGGAGCTCAAGTATCTTTCATTACATGCAACAAAACAGAACCAGTGCAATATGAAAAGGAGACAAGAGTTTGCTATTACACAGTTGATGCTGAGGAATATCAGCTATTTTTGAGTACACATATTGCTGCTACAAAAACCAATGCTAATGTGCAACTGCAGTGAAGTGACTGGAGCTTTCAAAAGGACACAGAACACAATGGTGCTGTGGATGAAGAACCAGAGTGTGCCTTTTATCTAAAGGAAACTTCAACTGCCTCTCCTTTGCACTTCACGACGAATGACTGCAGAGCGGCTCAGCAAACAGTTTCTAATGTTGGTTTATGAGTTGGTGTTGAAAGATGCATCAAATTAAAACAAAAATCTCCAATTGCTGGCTTAGCAGCAAACAGGAACTTAGAACACAGAATGTAAAGAAGCTGAAAGATATGACAGTAATAGCACTCACTCCCTACAAAAGTATTTTTTTAGAACTTATTTTAGACATGAATGCATTTCCAAAATAATAGAGCTTACATAATTAGTCTTCTACTTTTATAATCTCTACAGGTTGTCAGCTTACTGCTATTCATTCACAGCTACTAATTGCTCCTATTGGGAAATGCAGCTTTTGAGACTATATAAAGTACTTTCTTAGCAGCAAACATAAAGCTGAGACCTGAAATCTACAGCTTATTTTAAAACCTTGGGTGACATTTTTTCTCAAGACAACGCTCTATCGTGTACCATCCATGAGGAGCTCCCAGTTTGTTCCCTGTGTGTGCCAAAGGCATGCAGAGATGCATTTATCTGGGAGGAAAACCAGCAGCAATCAAAATAAACGCCCAGGGTGAAGGGACTGAAGCGACAAGTTGGGCTTACAAAAAGCCCCACATGCTTTTGGTAGTGAAACAAAAAAGATCTACCAGGAAAGTCAGCCCACCTTCCTGGTATGGAGGCATTTTGTTCTGTAACAGCAGGCTGCAATCTACCTTATTAGAAGACAATGTGTGAAACCATGAGGAAACAATCTGTGTGTGATACTGAGCTGCACTCCTGGCCAGCAGGAGCACGACAGGAGTTTGTGAGCGAAGTTCTTTGCAACTGGATTTTTAATGCTGCTTTAGGGACACATGCTCTTTCTTAGCAAAATACACGTCCCCTGGCTGTATTCTGAATTTCACTGTTCAGTAAAACCGTCAGTTTTGAGAAAAGCAAGTTTCAACTGGTGCTGCATCACCATTTGGAGTGAAGAGATGGACTCGGTGCCTGGCCCTGACTCAGGACCCCCAGACACAGCCGCCTGCTTCACGAAGCAAATGCACAGCCAGGTATTCCTCAGTACAAAAGCTCATTGCTCAAGCATCCATTCCCACTTCCCTCTGTTTTCAAGTCAAACAACACAATGGGGTTCCCCTACTCCAAATATCTGTGACCTCCAAAAAGCACCAACAAACAGACGGACTTGTCTCTACAGATGTTATTTTCTCTTAAAGACAGTAACCCAGAGTTTAAGTGAAGCTGTTACAGTTTTGTGTGTTGCATGTGGTATCGTCACATCAGACAGTGAGAAAATGCTTGGAGTGGTTTTGTGTTGAGGCAGTGCAAAGAAAAAGGATGTAGTTCTTTACAATGACAGTGATGAGATGCTGGAACAGCTGTCCAGAGAGGCTGTGGATTGCCCATCCCTGGAGGTGTTCAAGGCCAGGTTGGATGGGCAGCCTGGTCCAGTATTACATACGGAGGTTGGTGGCCCTACATGTGGCAGTGGGGTTGGAGTTTTTGATCCTTGAGGTCCCTTCCAACCCAAGGCATTCTGTGATTCTATCTATGAACATCAGTCAGAAATCTTTAGTTTTGAAGACTGGAAAACAAATTGTGCAGGCACTCGAGACACGGGTGGCTGCTGGTACATCAGCGGGGCATCTAAAGTGTGCTCAGCTCTGCTACAACACAACTCCAGCAGGCACTCAGAGCTGAGAGGCACAGCAGAGAAAATTCGAGCAATGCAGCGAGGGAACCCAGTGGGAGGACAAACACTGGTTGAGATGAAGGCAGCGTGGGCTGCTTTTCCTGCTGCTTTTCCTGCAGAGCAAACAGATCTCTGGGACAAACTCCCCAAGCCTCTGGCTTGATGGCGCATATGCAAAATATTTTGTGCATGCATTTTCTAGCTGCAAAGCAATTGAGGAACTGTAGGGTTTGTGCAGCATTATTCTAGAAATATGAAAACCTCACATACCATTCCAGTAAAACGCATTGCTGTCAACTCTTTTCCTACATGAACAAAACCTACAGGCAGTTGAGGTTCTGTTTGAGAGCGACACGGCAGGCAGCTAGCAAGGGCCTGCACAGAAAATAGTTTCTCTGGAAGCTGAGTGTTTTTCTGTGGAACCTGCATAGAACTTGCCAGATTGCTGCTCTCATTACCAACAAATGCAACGATTCTCTCTGCTGTTTGGAATTTTTTACATTTTTGCAGCTCACTGTTTCTGCCTCTCCTCTATCAAAGGAACCTCCCTGTAAGCAAGCTGAGGAACTGGCAGTTCCTGCTGACCAGTGCTCACAGTTCACTGCAACACAAACCTGGGCACCATGCACCCAACCAGCTCCCTGCACACCCCCGCTGACCACATGTATGATCTGAATTGGAATTCAACACAGCAACTCCTCTTGTTTCCTCATCTTGAAAGAGCAATGTTCAGCCCATTGGACCATAAGGGTCAGAGCCACCTACAGCACAAAGAGCATCCTCCGGCTCCAGGGCACCCAGGGCTGCCTTTCTGCTGCCCCACTCAGCCCCAAGTGCAAGGAGCTCACCTGCAGGAAGTGACAGATGAGAACCCAGGAGGCTCTAATTAGTTCTTGAAGAAAAAATGCCATCAAGCAATTTCTGAGATGCTTACAACATAAACACTGCTGTGGTGTTCTCTGTCCACTGCCCTCCGCCAGAAGCAGGGAAAGGCTCTGCCATTTTTTTTCATGATGTAAACTTAGCCCAGTTTTACTGAAACTCAAATTTCCATTAAAAGGGGGATGCTCCAAAATAGCTATTTTTATTTGTAAAGCTAGTGAAGGGTTTGGATTGCTGCTTCCTATCGATTTTAATGGAAAATTGAGCATATGGATTCTCTGACATCTGCACAATCTGCTTTATTTTTCCATGAATACTTCAACTACAAACTTATAAATTCCCCACATTTTCTATCTAACACCTGCTAGAATAACACTATTTTATACAGCTGAAAATCTTAAATAAAAGCATATTTAAACAACTGCATCTGAGAAACGTACTGCCTGTCAAACAGCCCCCTGCTCTTTTTTTTGCAGCTAAAATACTGACAATAAGAATATATGTTCTTTTGCTAAAAATCCCAATTCACAAAAAATACATATTATCTCAACATTTATTTGCACTCTAACAGTTTCTATCTCCACGCAGGGATACGAACTTTCCAAATGACAACAGAGTGGCACTCATGCTCTGAAATCCTAAAATATATTTAGCAAAGATGTTTAATAATAGCTCTTTGGTTAAAGCACTTCCTCTGCATATTAAAAAGCCTATTACCAGCTTACATAATGCAAAGCCACGGCAGAAAAATGAACTGTGATTACAGCGGGCGTTGCGTGATTCCATCCCTGCGTGCGGCTTTAAGACACCGGTGATGAAAGCAGAAGCGACAACCGCACTTCTGTGCTGCCCAAGGCCAGAACGCAGGACACAGACCCCAAACTCAGGGCTCAAGAAAAGCCTGCTGGATGCTCAAGGTTATGCCTGATACGTTCTTTAACATAACATCGCTTTCTCTTCAGTGCTGAGAGATGGGTTACTGCTTCTGAGGCATGGCATACGCGCCAAGCAGCAGGCAGAGATCTAAGGGGAAGGATGGAACAGGACAGCCTGAAGCCAGTAATAACGCAGTGTTCTTTCTACAGTGTTTCCCAGCTGAAGAATTATTACATTTCTCTGCAAACACCACAAAATTTCCTGCTGCTGAAGCAGAGAATTGCCACCCCCATTTCACCCCAAGGGAGACTTCAACAGCTTCCCAAAGCCACGCAGATCTGTGTGAGGTGGGAATGGAGACTGCTAACAACGCCTCTCCAACAATAGGCCTCGTAAATGGCTCCCTTTGCGAAATAACCCACTTCAGTGGAGCTATCCTCACTGAGGAGTAAGCATCTGAACACTATTGAGAATGCAGCACGCAAAGAAAACCAAATTTGGCGCTGTGTAACAGCAACAGCTCGAAATAAACTTCCACAAGTGCCCTCAAAAGCAGAACCCAGCTCCTGAGCAGCTCAGTCTTTCCTGCAACCGATCTGTAAGAGCCAACACAGTGGCAAAATCTCTTACAGACACAGAGCTGGCCAAGCACCCAGCAGCAGCACTGCAGGCTGCTGGGCAACAAAGGGCCACTGAAACACAAGTGCTTGGGCTCAGCTTTGCTGGCATTCTTCTGAAGAACCTCAGCCTCATGTGAACTCTGCGTGCTCTTTCCACAGAAGTTCTGTAATTCTTAC